CCACACAGACACCACAGAAGAAGAAACAACAACCACACAGACACCACAGAAGAAGAAACAACAACAACCACTGACTGGTGCTCGACTGGTTTGGACGGATGTAGACCAGTGAGATACTGGTTCAGACTGGACTGGTGTGAACTGCACATGAACTGGTTAGAACTGGTTTAAACTGACTTCATAGTGGTTTGGACCGGTTTTAAACTGGTTAAATCTGTACTTAAGCTAGGTTGGACTGGATCACACTGGATCTGTTATACTGGTTTGGACAGTATTTGGACTGGCTTGGACAGGTTTCATACTGGTTTAGACTGGTTGTCACTGGTTTCAGACGACTGTTAACTGGTTTTATTGAGGTTCTGTACTTTCTGCTGATGTAAACAGGTTTAACTTGGCTTGAACTGGTTTTATACTTTGTCTTGGACTGGTTTAAATCCAGCATTATACTGGTTTTGTGTTCTGCACTTTTTCTTGGTCTGGTTTATACGAGAATCATTCTTATTATAATAATAATAATCATTATTATCATCATCTGCTAACTTTGCAGTAATTCAGCTGAACCACCACGCCTGCCAGCTCCAGCTCTGTTTTCATTTTTGAGCTTTTAAACCAGGAGACAACACGACGTGAGTCTCATCTGTGGCGTCTGCAGCACTTTCAAGACCCCTGAAAGCAGAAGTTATGGCTTCATTATCATTTTTAAGGACAATTAAGAGCCTAATTTTGCATAAATTAATTTTTAAGGATCTGCAGGGACCTTGGATGAGCGTCCTCGCAGCGCCAGTAACACCAGTGTGGCCCCTGGGAGCCCGTTGAAAGCGTTTCACAGCTTTAAACGCTATTTGAAGGTAGCTGCAGGCCGACGGCGGAGCTGTCACTCAAGCTTATCGTCACGGCAACACACACGGCGTGACAGCTGTCAGTCTTAGTGTGTGTGTTTGTGAAGTGCGTACCACTTTACAACTACCTGCGGCGCACACGAGCCAACGCACACATTAGCGTTAGAGCCGGATCGATGGCTGACAAATGATGGGCTCCCTCGCGGAGCTGCGCGCCGGGGCCCTCTGGGCCCCACCGCAGAGCTGCACCACCGGGCCCACGCCACCGACTGACCTGTGCTGACTCCGGAGTTGGCGATGACGGTGGCGTCGGTCCACTGGTCGGCGCTGGAGACCGAGTACGAGCGCTGGTGCATCCCCTCGAGGCCGCCGCGACTGTTGAAGGACACCAGGCTGACGCCGCTCGCCATCTGAGACGCCGACGAGCTGCTGGTCACCGAACCTGAGAGACGAGACGAAGACTTCCAGTAAACATGCTGAAGTGCAGAGAAGGTGAAGAACGCACCGGAGCCGTTCACAGCAACACCTCGGCTCCTTCAGCTTCAACTTATTCATTTGAAAAGTGACAATAGCATCAAGCAACATTCAGACAAACGGACCGAGTTCACCAGAAGTCCGTGAGTTTAACAGAACGGGTCAAAAGAACAAAACGAGCAAAGATCAGCAGCAACAGCACTCATCAGCTTGGTTGTGTTCTTGTGTTTGTATTAATACTAAAATAAATAAATTTTCGATCAACACACGTTTGGTTCAAACGCAGCTCAGCTGCTACATCACATGAAGCTAGTGAGAGTTGCTAAGCTAACTACCTTTAGCAGGTGTTTTGCTGCTTCAGAGGGAAAATCTATAGTGAAATGTCGCTTAGTGTTCGTTAACGCTATCGGCTTCAATCTCAGCAGCCAGGTCTTTTCCTGACAAAGCCCTTTGACGTTAGCTGTGTACTTAGCCTCTTGCTATACCTTTAGCTATGTAGTTAGCCGTCGTTCTCTGATTTTACCCTTGTAGCTAGCTTCTTTCAGCACCTTTAACTGTGTAGCTAGTTGTTGTTCTGACTTCAGTCTTCTAGTTAGCTTCTTTTATGACTTTAGCTGTGTGGTTAGCTGTCGTTCTCTGACTTTAGCCTTGTAGCTAGCTTCCTTCTATACCTTTAGCTGTGTAGCTAACTGATGTTCTCTGACTTTAGCCTTGTAGTTAGCTTCCTTCTATACCTTTAGCTGTGTAGCTAACTGATGTTCTCTGACTTTAGCCTTGTAGTTAGCTTCTTTTCATGACTTTAGCAGTGTAGCTAGCTGTTGTTCTCTGATTTTAGCCTTGTGTTTAGCATCTTTTAACACCTTTAACTGTGTAGCTAGTCGTTGTTCTGACTTCAGCCTTGTAGTTAGCTTCTTTTTATGACTTTAGCTGTGTGGTTAGCTGTCGTTCTCTGACTTTAGCCTTGTAGTTAGCTTCCTTCTGTACCTTTAGCTGTGTAGTTAACTGATGTTCTCTGA